GGACAGGCAGAGGGACAGGCAGAGGGGCAGACGGACAGACAGAGGGACAGGTGGACATGCAGACGAACTGGCAGAGAGACAGATGGACCAGCAGACGGACAGGCAGCTAGCTAGGCAGACGGACAGACCGACAGGTGGTTTAATGAGTTTTCCTGGGCACAACCCGCTTCTTTCGGCTGTGACCCAGTGTACCCCTCCCTCCGGCACCACTGCTGCGTTAGGCAAGGCTGGGGTGCTGGTACACAGGAGTGCCGCTTGCCCGGGTAGGGTCGCAAGGGACAAAAGGGAGGTGGCACTACCGCGTACGTGGACAGCGTGTACCCTTGGACACAGGCTGAGACGGACGGGAGGCTGGCTTGGTGAAAGTTGCTAGGAAGGATAAAAGGGGTAAAGACAAAGGTGATTCCAAGGTAGGGATGTAAGCTATTAGCCGACTACCCGGGACCACAGGCTGTATCAGAGCAGCAGTGGGGGTGGGGGAGCTGGTGCTGGGGGGAGCTGGTTTCCTCCAGCACCCTCTCCGTGGGGGGAGGCAGAGGACGGCTGTGCCTTTGACTTTGAAATATAGCAGGAGTTCTTGTTACAAAGACAGAGGCGCTGCAGCTGGGATAGCGAGCGCCCCACCTCGCCCCTCTCCTCATTGAGTAGTTGATGGAAATTCCATTAATGACTTGATTAGCCAATTAATCAAAATGTAATATCCCTGTTCCATAGAAGGGGTCTACTACAGGCCACCTACCCAGAAAGAAGAGGTAGATGAAGTTTATTAAAAACCAAATGTATCTAAAGCCCAGGAGTTGGGGGTGATGGGGACTTCAACTATCCAGACATTTGCTGGGACATTAACACAGCAGGGCACAGATTATTCAACTAGTTCTGGGTATGTACTAGAAATATTTTTTATTTCAGAAGGTGGAGAAAGCTACTGGGGGGAGGCAGTTCTAGATTTCAGTTTAACAAATAGGGAGGAACTGGTTGAGAATTTGAAAGTGGAAGGCAGCTTGGGTGAAAGTGATCATGGCATCATGGAACACTAGAACTGGAAGGGACCTCCAGGTCTATAATCACAAAGTTCATCAGTCTTGCAGGGTTTCCCAGAGTGTGCTCTGTGGAACCCTGGGGGCTCCATGCAATGGGTCAGGGGCTCCGCAAGAAAATAGTAATGACAGTTGCATGACCGTGTTATTTTGTTACTAATTTTCTGATCATTTTCTTGGGAAAAAATTATCCAAACTAAAAATAGAATTCCAAAATTGTATCTGTTTAGGTACTTATTGGATTAAAAAGCGTAACATTTTAAAGCCGCTGCCAAATTTTCAGGACCCTCTTGGTGTCCATAGTTGAAAAACCCTGGTCTAAAGAGTGGTAGGAGGGAGAACAGCAAAATAAAGGCAGTAGATTTCAAGAAGGCAGACTTGAGCAAACTCAGAGTGCTGGTAGACGGTGAAGGTTGGTGGTGGTGAGATTCCCACCGTAGTGAATGCCGGAGGAGAAAATGAGATAGAGAAGGAAACTAGGAAAAGAATAAGTTAAAAATGACTTAGAAAGGTTAGATGTCTTCAGGTTACCAGGCCTGATGGAATGCACCTAGAATACTCCAGGAGCTGATTGAGGCCATAGCTGGGCCCTTAGCTATTATCTTTGAAAAGTCATGGAAGACAGGAGAGATTCCGGAAGACTGGAATCTTTGCCTATCTAGAAAGAGGGAAATACGAACAATCCAGGATACTACAACCTAGTCAGTTTAACCTCTGTGCCAGGAAGGATAATGGAGCAAGTAATTAAGGAATCCATTTGCAAATGTCTGGAAGATAATAAGGAAATAAGTAATAGTCAGCATGGACTTGTCAAGAACAAATCATGTCAAACCAGCCTGCCGGCTTCCTTTGACAGGATAACAAGCCTTGTGGATAAGGGGGAAGTGGTATATGTGGTATACTTAGGATTTGATGCAGCTTCAGGTGATTTTATGAATAAACGAGGGAAATACAACCTAGATGGGACTACTATAAGGTGGCTACAGAACTGGTTGGGTTGCCATTCCCAGAGAATAGTTCTTTATAGTTCACAGTCCTGCTGGAAGGCAGAACAAGGGGGGTTCTGCAGGGCTCTGTTGTGGGACCGGCTCTGGTCAGTATCTTCATCAACAATGTAGATATCGGCATAGAGAGGACACTTATTAAGTTTGCAGCTGATCCCAAGCCAGGAGGGGTTGCAAGTGCATTTGGAAGATAGGGTCAGAATTCCAGCTGATCCGGGAACACTGGAGAAACGAGCTGAGGTAAACAGGAAGCAACGGGAGCGGTGCCTGCACCGAGCAATTTCTTTCAGCACTCAGGAGCCGCTTCATCTCTCTGGGCCACGTGGAACCCGTGGGCCTCATTTGAGCCCCACTTGCTCCACACTCACCCCCAGCAGTGGGAGCTGGTGCTCCAGCCATGGCGCCCCTCCCCACGGCCGGAGCACCAGCGCTGGCTAACGCGCCTGCAGGGGAGGGGGCAAGCCCCAAACCCGCAGGCTGGATGCAGCCCTGGGCTGGAGGCTCCCCACCCCTGCTGTAGCCCAGTGACTGTAAGGGAGGAGGCTTCGAGGCCATAGGTACATTTGCCATGGATAGATGCCAGGAGGCAGATGTTGACTCTCCCCTGTTGTTACACACTCCCATGCTGATTTCGTGGCTGTGTTCCCACAGCCAATGGGCATTGGGGTTTTCTTTCGTTTGATGCTTGTTCTGCTCTGCAGTGGAATCTTGGGGTGAATGATCAGGGTGGTGTTCTGCTGCTGCACATCCCTCAATGTGGGACTGTTAATCCACTAGTGTGCTAACGGTGGAAAGTGCAGATTCGCCCCGGTTCTTCCCCCAGGGGAGGCTGCCTTAGGGCTGAGGCTGGAATGGGGCGGACAGCGATCCCTGTTTTAGTTCTCAAAGAATACATTAGTTCCTAGTCCCTTCGTTGCGGCGGTGGTGTGAGTGAGTGAGTGAGTGGGGACTGACAAATCCAGGCAAAAAGAAATACCGTGTTTGTCTGTGCTCGTTCCCCCCCACCCGAGAATTACCCTACATTCCCAGCGCCAGAGTGGGAGATGCAGATTTGGGTGCGTTCTTCTTGACGCGTGCAGCTAAGGATGCCCGTCCAAGAGGCTAGGCCCCCTCACTACCTGGAGGTGACAGCCCCTCGAGGGTGGGAGCAGCGGCACGGTGTTAGCGAGAGAAGGAGCCGCTGTGCTGCAGTTCAACGTCCGTGTTTTGTTCTTCGCAGTTGATCGCCTGATCCGAGAGAACAGCCACATTTTCACAGAGGCGCAATGCAAAGTGTGCAGCGCAGTCCTCATCTCTGAGTCCCAGAAGCTTGCTCATTACCAGGTACGGCAGGCAGGAAGGTGTTACTGGGTTTCTTATTCAGTGTGACATCGGGTGGAGTATTAACCCACTTTTCTTCCTCACTCCCTGTCAGAGCAAGAAGCATGCGAACAAAGTGCGGCGGTACATGTCGATTCACGGGGAGGAGCAGCTCACCCAGGGGAAGAAGTTAAAGCTGGAGACCAAACAGGTGATGTAGAAAATGACCGGGCCTCTCACGTCAGCTCTAGAAGAGCAATAGCACCCTGTAAGCGCTGGGGAGGGCTTCAGTGGCATGTTCTGTGCCAGACAGAGGCATGTGATACATCAGAGAGAGGATAGTTGGAATTGGGTCGCTTAGGCCTGGTCTACGCTGCAGGGCTACATTGACTTCAGTACGTGAATAGCGTAGATGAAGTCTGCGTAGCTTAGGGTGACTTACCTACACTATGCTGTGTTGACGAAAGAATCTCTCTGGTCGATTTACCTTACGCTTCTCGGTCTGGGGTCGTGCTAGAGTTGACAAGAAAGCAATCTACAGTTGATTTAGTGGGTCTTCCCTAGACCTGCTAAATCAACCCCCAGGGATTGACTGCTGCAGTCTCCTGGTAAGTGTATCCATTTCCTTATTGAGGACAACTTAGTCCTCTAGTTGCTACACATTGCTGGAGCAAGCACACCTCTTAGCCAGTGCGTGGCAACATCTGCAATCTAAACAATGCGTACCCCTGTGATAGCAGTACGTCTGGGGAGCAACATTTGGAAGGACGGGGGGGTCAAGGTGACTAGGAGCAGTCCTGAACACCCTTACTATGCAGTTCTCACCTGCCCC